TCGTCAGTGCGAGCTTTCTTTCTTGTCCAAATGGTTTCCTGCTGATCGAAGCGTCGTCGTCGATCTTGAAAGCTTTCAGGCACAGCAGGAGGGATGTAGGTGGCATCCACTGGCATTTGACTTTGTGATGAAGTCGGTGGTGCTTCAGGAGGTTGATCCAAGTCGTGGTCCTCGGGAACTGCAGGAAGATCAGCAGGATCACGAGGTATCCTGGGCGTTGGTCTGTGTGCTGGTTCGCCCATTGGTTCTTCAACTTCATCTTCATTTTCTTCCATTTCCAACTGTGGAGGTCCATCTTGTTCTCGTGGTGGTTCAGGTTGATCATCATGAACCTCTGAAGGGAAGGGATCTTGTTCCGGTTGATCCTCGGTTGCTTCCTGAGTTGGAGGAAGTGAATCAGGTGGCTCTCGTTGAGGCTCTTCATGTCGAGGTCGTGAGGGTGCGGATCGAGCAGCGTGCTCCGAAGCGGGCTGTTGTTGTCCATCAGGTTGTCCGGGAGAAGCCATTGTAGATGGTTGAGCTTCGGTGTCGGTGGGAGTGTACTCCAAGTCACTTATCTCAGGGTCAACCTCATCGATGGAGCGCTTGTTGGAGCGTCGAAGATCCACAATGCGAACTGCTCGCCGCTGTCGTAGGTCTCGTAGAGCCTGTTGAACTCGAGCTGAACCGTCGATGGTGCCAGTGTCGTTGACTAACTTGCGAACGTGCTGGGTGCTGGCACGGAGAAGAACGGTTCCATGAGCCAACCAATAGCAGGACACGGTGCCAGTGTCAGGGTTTCTCTCAATGGCCAGAACGATCGCAGGACCTTTCCAGCGAATGGTGTGTGCTCGATCGGCAGCGTCTCGCCAGTACAGACATCGTTCTCCAGGATGAAGGTCTTCGTCACGGCCAGTGTACCTGCGAAGGAGAGCTCGGCGCAACTTGACATCAATTTCAGCCTTGCCACAAGCCTGCTGGGCTGAGAACTTCAAAGTGAGGCGTCTGTGAAGTCGCTCCTGCTCGGACATCTGAAGTTGTAGTGGTCCAGTACGTTCATCAGAAAGGAGTCCGGGCATTGAAGGTTCTCGACCTAATGCAAGCTGGGACGGAGTGAAGCCGTTCACGAAGGTGTTGGAGTTGACCGAGGGAACCACCCATGATAAAGCCTGTTGAACTCCGTCAAGGCCTTTTAGTTCGTGCTCCAGCATGAAGATGGAGACTGCCTTCCGAACCAGTTGATGTCTGCGCTCAACGATGCTGGTGCGAGTGTGAGCTTGGCCAGGTGATATGCGAAGCTCGATGTCGTGCTGTTCACACCATGTAGCTGTGGAGTCTGAAGCCCATCCAGTTCCCTCATCGACGTAGAGCTGTTTCGGAGGTCCATGGAACTGGATCCAGGCTCGTTCAAGGGCCTTTTGAAGAGAGATGCCCTTTTCATCTGGGACTGTGCGTGCTGCCATGTAACGAGTGGCAACGTCCACCATGATGAGCACGGCAATGCGCTTGGTGCGCTGCTTGCGTTGACCAGCCTCAAGGAGCATGCCAATCTCGTCCATCTCCAACCACAAAACATCTGCTTGAACCTGGGCGTTGAACTCGGTGGGTCTGTCCAGATGGCCAGGTGCATTGCCCTTCTTGACGGAGTGGATCTCGCAGTATGGACAGTGGAGGTCTTGAACTGCCGCTTGAATTGCCTCATTGCATCCTCGCTCCTTGAGCATCTTGAGAAGAACATCTTTGCGAGGATGACCAAGATTCCGATGAAGTCTGTAGGCAATGCGGACTGCTTCACTGCCATGAACTTTTCCGAGTTTGCGAAGGACACCAGTGAGAGCTTTATCATCTTCATTGTGGACGGTGTAGACTTGCTCATTGAGGCCTTCATGAAGAAGTAGTCCACGAGCGAGTGCTGTTGCTAGCTCTGTCTGGTAGTTTTCAGCCTTCTTGCACCTGTTCCGTCCTTCAAGGCGTTGGTGAGCATGTTGTCCATCGCACCTTTTGGACATCAGATTGAACATTGCCCATTTTGTGGTCTGCAGTTTGGTGGTCTTCTTGATGGGCAGGAATGAACCGTCATCGGCTTCGGCAACTGCTCCGTAGGCACATTGGTCGAAGATCGCTTGATGTCCGGGAAGATGTCGGAGTTGAGGCGTCTCCCAAGCTAGACTCAGGTGAGGGTGCTCGATGTGGGCGTGGTCTCCTCTTCTCACCTGCTTGTAATACAGCTTCTTGCACATGGTCAGATGGGTTCGCCGGTCCACTTCACGGCGTTCTTGAAGATCTTCAGCTTGAGCCTCATTGTGCACATTGATCTGCTGCATCCTCGACCAGAGAGTGCAACTGGGTGACATGTAGATCTCGTCAGGCTCAAGCTCATCGCATAAGCGTAGGAGAGCTTTTCGATGTGCGGCTCTGTTGAAGTCCCATCCATCTTCCCATCCGAAGCGCATCACCTCCACATCGCCATGAGCTTGAAGGAGTTGAGTGATGCGGCCTTCTCCAGCATAGACTTCCCAGATCAGCCGCTTGCGGTGGGAAAGGCCATGTTCCCGGGCATGATGCACTTCTTGATGAAGTGTCTTCTGGTGTTCGGCCAACTGGTGCTCGAACATGGTGAGGGTCTTTTCCAACTGTTCAATCGTTTTGCTTGTTTCACCAGGTAGTAGGTCGGTCATGTTCTCCTGGTCGACCTCCATGTAGGTTGTCTCATCAGTTTCACCCTTTTCACATGCCTGAAAATAGGCGTGCACTTCAGTGGTCATCTCGAAGAAGCGTTCGTGGGCGTTGAGGTCGTCCAAGAAGTCATTCAGCTTGAGGCCATTGTTGTGATCATCTTCACATCGAAGATCGAAGGTCTCGGGGAAGAAGTCCTCAGGGCGTGTCACCCCTTCAGCGAGGCGAAGCAGCATTGCTCCCTGACGGCCACGAGGGATATCCCGCCAGGTCTCCTGGTCAAGCATGCGCATCCGAGAGCGGCCAAAATCAATCTCGGCATGGAGAGCTTCAAGCAAGGGTCGGCCAAACAACATTGGAGTGGCACCGTAGATCACATAGGCTTGGATCTTGCCGCCAACGTCAGCCAGACGTGTTGGTAGCTCGATCATCCATTTTGACTGTCCTGTAGCATCGCCACCGAAGCGGAAGGACTTGTCACACTGCTTGAAGTTCAACTTGTCCATGGGGTAGCCGAGGATTTCCAGCCACTTGAGGTAGCGCAGGATGTATTCACTGCCAGCCAGGAATGATGATGCTCCTTGATCCTGGATGCAAGCGTCAGGATCCGGCGTGAGCCAGCCGCCGGCACGAACCAAAGCTTCCCCTTGGGCATAGGCCTCTTCAGAGTCATAGAAGATCTCATTCTCATAGTCGTAGCCCACCTCAGCATCATAGAACTCTTCAATGCTGAGGACCATGTGGACCATTGTGTCATCATCTGCAGGTCGCTTCTTTGGTGAGCTTGACTGTGCACCTGCCGTCGAACAGTTTGCTGCGAAGTGTCCAGGTTTTCCGCAACGAAGGCATACCATAGCTGAGCGAGCTCTCTGCTTGCCGCTGGGCCCTTTTCCAGACTTTGAGCCTTTTCCTTTGGAAGAGCTCTTTGACTTGCCAGGGCTCTTGGATTTGCCTTTGCCGGAACCTTGGGCCATCAGAGGTGCTTGACCCTTTCCACCATCAACCACTGCCACGACAGGGTAGAAGCCACGGCTTTGTCTGAGCTGGTTGAGGCGGTTCTTGGCATCGACGTAGGTGCTGTAGATGTCATCGAACTCCTGAGTGTCAAACATGGAGTCCAGCTCTTCTTGAGCTTCATCGTAGTAGAAGGTGTCATCGGGCTCTGGGTCATCCCATTCTCCCATGGTCTCCTGGAAGTCGTCGGGGTCGATGGCATCCTGGAAGTAGGTCTCTTCATTCTCATAGTTCTCATCCAGCTCATAGTCCTCCTCCCAGAAGACTTGGCTCTGCCTCTTCCATCGGCCGGGGAGCTGTGGCTTCCTCAGGTGTGCAGGAAGGTGAACATGGCGATGATCTTGGCCGAGGATCAGGTAGAGAGCCTCCTCGACAGCTGGAAGCGTGAGGGTCGAGCCGATGTTGGTCTGGATGAGCTGCTCTTGTTCCTTGGTCAGTCCGGCTCTCTTCAACATCATCCAGCCGGTGATCTCCTCAGGAAGATCAACTTTGTGCTTTGAGACCTGTCTGAGGGTCTGGTGGAACTCGGTGGTGTACTCCAGGATCGACTGGTCCTTCTTGCGCCGCAGCTTGAAGAAGAACTGCTCGAAATGGGTCGGCATTTCGACCTTGGCGTCATACGCCCATTGGCGGTCCAGGCGCTTGAGAAGGATGTCGAGGCCAGATTCTTTTTCCAGCTCATGGAGATCCAAATCTTCACACTGGGTCCAGGATGGACCTTCAAGGACTGAGAGGACGTTGAGGGCGATTTCGCTCTTCCGCCCTTGAAGCTCAAGCTTCCGGGCGTACAAGGTCACTCGCCTCCGCCATTCAGCATAGGTCGTGGTCGTGTTGTCGAAGCGGGGCACGAAGTTGTCCTTCAGATCCTTGCCAGCATTCGCGGAGGAGCTGCCGCCATTCGCGTCGCGTGAGGTTCCGCGGCGGGTCGGCGACGAAGCCATTGCGATGCTGGAGCCCCCTCCTGTGAGGAGGCTCCGCTACCAATATGAAAACACGGATGTGGAAACTCGTGTTGTATCGCGACCGCACGAAGTGTCGAGATGGAAAGCGTGAAAAACAGTGAGGCGTGTCTTTTGCCTATGGCGTAGCATGAACGAGGTTCAAGGGGCCCCTGCATGGGCGCAGGGTAGCCAAACGGCAGCGGCCAACGGCCAAAAACTGCTCAGGCGTTCACAGAACTTGATTGCACGGCGTGAAATCCACAGTACCTATTGGTGGTTCACGACCGGGGACATCCCCAAGCAAGAATCAAGCAACATGGTGTCAGGTCCTAAGGTCAATCAACCAACATGTGGTCCCTTCCCACCCACTCGTTCCAGGAAGCAGCTCCGTTTCCTTCACTTCCAAGCGCCATTCTTCGTGCTCCCACCGGCACTGGCCCTTGCGGCCCTTGCGCCCTTCGAGCCAGGTCCGGTGGCCTCAGCGATGGGGAGATAGATTTGATTTGGGTATAGCCGGTATAGCCTATTACCAGGCTTCAGTGGATGATGATTCAATAATACTTGGTAAAGGTCTTGCTAAAAAATATTCAAACATAGTGATCCTCTTTTACCGACGGCTACCGGTTTACTGGGCTACACCCGACTGACTTGATCACTTAGCTGACTTAGCGATCCGAGTTCAATGCTCTCAGACTTGGACTCCGTCATCAAAACATCCTAAACTATCTCTTGAAAACAAAAAAACAACTCATCCAGCTGGATTATCTTTTCAGAGTTCAGTGATTTCAACGATTTGCTTTGCTGGCTTTGCTGGGTCTGAGCAACTTGTGAGGCGGGCAATTTCACGACGGGAAAGGATCGCGACAGGGTCACACTTGGCAGTGTAAAGAAGGGGTCCTGGTAGCAATCGGGACCTCTCGAAGTAGCGGAAGAACACGATGCCTTTCGCAGTGTTGATCGTCTCTTGCAGAACCCAATCTTGGATTTGATTGGGTGTCAAAGAAATTCCTGGTTTGGAGGATCTCTTTGGAGACCTGTATATAGTACTTCCTTGATCGATCTTGATGGGATTTGGGAACAATTCTCCCGCCCTAGCAGCCCTGCACCGCTCTGCACCACTCTTCACCGATCCACGCCTGTGGGCTGCCTTTTCCTGCACCCGGACTCTTGATGTAGCCTGGCCATGTGCAAACCCAGCGGGTTTTCAGCGTCACAACCTGTGTCGAATTTTCAACCTGACCATGTGCAAACCTAGGCGGGTTTGAGTGTCACCCTATGTTGCGTATCTATAACTTTCCGCGAGACACCAACCTGACAAGTGCCAGGTTACAGCAACAACATCATGCAAAGCAGCGCTTCTGACTTTCCGGTCCCGACAGCGTTCACCTGACGAAAATGGTCAGACACATGCGGGAAACAACACCCTCTCAAGTTCATACATTGGACAAGCAATCTTGCGCTGCTTGCAGAGGGCTCCCCTGGTACTTTTTGGGGCAATCCAACAAGGCTGGTAGTTGCCTTCTGCGCGCGCCACACCATTTTCACACCGGACAGTGCCAACGTTGTCCGCAAAGACACAAAACATGCCCCTGTCAAGCAGCTTGCGGCACAAACCCTGTGCTCCACTTCTTTGTTGGGGCTCCTTGCGCTCTTTGCTCCCCAGCCGGACGATGCAAGCCAACTTCCAGCTTGAGAATTTCGAGCCCCCCAGTTCGGATCTTTGACTGGGACTGCCTTCACTTGGACGCGTTGGGCCCCAACTCCCTCGCCACGGAATGCCGTGATCGGTTGCAAACATCAAACAGCGACACCGACATCGTAAGACTGAGGATCACGAGCTGTCGCCGATAACGAGCTGTCGCTCCAAAGCATGTGCTTCACCTCCTGGACAATACGTTTTCATACGTTTTCATGTATACCCAAACGCTCGGACTGGAAGATATGCCGATCAGGCCAGGGGTGGTGGTGCCACGGGAGGTCTGTCTGGGGCGGCAGTCCTATTCCAGTCCCATGGAGCGTCTGGGATAAATATCTTTGATCAAGCCGCTTCTCTGAGTTTTTAACCCCTGCCTGCGCCCTACCATATCCATCAATGGGGAAAAAAGACCCCATCAGCGCGACGATCGACGATCCCGTGTCAGGTGTTACCCGTCAACATGGAAGGGCGTGCCTGCAACAAAAGTCAGCAAGCAATGCTCCCCAATGAACGCTTCAGTAGCTATGCAGTTTTACCGGTTCTCTGCCAGGTTTGCACTTCGAAGCGCCTGTTTTACATCAATGTCCTTCCTCCGGGTGACTTTGCGAGGTTGCCCATCAGACTCCGAGTGGTCTCGGTATCCAGGTTTGGTCTTGGTCTCTCAGGTCCAGGGTCCCTTGCTGGGCTGCTTCGGGGTTCAGTCCGAATCAGTGGGCGCCCCTCGGCCCCCTTGGCCCCTCGGTCCAGGTTCAACGCGTCGTGGTTTTACACGGAGGAGCGGCGGATCCGCAAGTCCAGCCGAGCGGCTCGTCCGGTGGGTAGAAATCCACTCCGACTATAGAATCAAAACCAAACAAAGAGTTTCAAGAAGTTCCTGAACTAGAGTCACCAAATATGTCAGACAACTCTTATAAGAACTTATAAGATCTTATAAGTTATAAGATCTGATGTTCCCACAGGCTCATTGGGACCCTCATAGCTAGGGTTTTGACCCTCACAACTCACTACTAGGGTTTTGGACCTCAAACATGTAGCATGAGCCTCTGGGTTACAACTAACAAGTTCTGAAACTCATTGAAACTCCCATAAATTGAACGCTGGCAGTGCCGACACCCGCTCCCTCCCTACGCTTGCCCCGGCCTTGGCTCTTCGTCTCGGGCACTGGATCGGCGGTCTTCACCTGGCGGCACGATCCGATTCCTCCTGGAAGCAGGGGTGCCTGGGTGAAGGTGTGAAACACAGCAGATGCGCGTCGAGACGCGTCTGGTGGTTATGTGGGCAGTATACGTGCACCACATCGTTACAGAGTGAGGCAGAATATGGCAGAATGGTTTCGGTGGATCGTGATGGTTATGATGCTTTTGCAGTGTTTTGTTTGTTCAATCGTTTGTCAAGCTAGCAGCTAGCAAAAGGAAGTAAAGGGCTTCCATGGGCTTCCTAAGAGTATGCCCCCCTTGGCTTAGTGTGATATTCTCAGTGTGATTTTCCTGATCCACTAAACTTAAGTGCCAAGCCGCAAGCCTTTGGAGCAGAAGAGAGGTGTACTATATGTGTACCCAAAGTTTACCTGTCAGAATCTATAAATTTCTTACAAGGCATGTTCACACGAGGAAAGCGACTTCTTACCCGAGAGTCCAAAATCCAAACGTTCAGCGTATACATGTACATACCTACATACCCGACCAGCCCACCCTCGGGGTTGACCTGGTTTGGTCGAGTCTAACATTTTGAGTAAAACAATGCTTGTTCACCTCTTGGCATCCACTCATCCACCTGAAATTTCTTGGGTTTAGGGTTTTGAACACTCGCCGAAGCGCATGCACCTGAAGCCCGCCACGCTCCGTGAGTCAGGTCGAAGCACCGATCCGCCGGGTGGGTCCTGGTCACCGAAGCTGTTCGTTGGTTGGATGTGTTTTTGGTAGATCAACTTTAATGTAGACTCTTGAGGTACAGAACCAGATGAATTGGACATCCTCTCCAGGCCTGGGGGGTGAGGTATAATCAAGAATTGACTCGTCGACATGAGTTCAACATGAGATTCAGTGACCCTCTGGGCAGGTCACGCCGTGCCCACCCGAAACCACCAAAACACGCCTCGGAATTGGGCAGCTCGAGTCCCTGAGTCGGACGACGGTCGACGAAGGGAGAGCGGTGTCACCGCTCTCCACGGTGTCTCCTTACGTAAGGAGGTGTCTCTAGTAGGACGAGCCTGTGTGAGGAAGAGCTAAGTCTAGGTTAATATATACACTACTGAAGATCATTTCAAGGGTGGTCCTGTCAGCTTCCATGATTGTTGGAGGGAGGGTTGCACACGAGTATGTAGGTATGATAGGTGTATCCTTCTTCAATTGCACGCATCCTGGAGGCCAAATTCAAATGTCAACTGAAACGTCTCGCTGTCTCCGTCCACCATCCCAATGTCTATGACTTTGAGGAAAAATGCTGGGCATCTGCAGCAGCCTAAATTGATTTAGGCTTGATCGATCCCTTTTGAAACAAGGGCCCAACAACTGGCCCTTAGAAAACACCAACAACTGTTGCCCATGTGCCTTGAACCTGATGAGAATATGCAATGCGAGTACGAGCAATACCGGGCTTTTTTGGACGAGAAATCAGGTTTCTGGTTCTGTTTTGGTTGGCGGTATGTCAGGGAGTTCGAAAACGAGTCTGGGTACAGTGCTACATTGAGGAATATGATGCTTTTGGGCTGGGCTTCCACTGCATCGATGAGGGTCAGTGATGGTGTCAAAATCACCCAGACCCACCATGGGACTGGAGGAGTTGCACACAGAAAACCTCATGAACACCCATCCATGTAGGTCGCTCAACCCTCGTCCCATGGATGGTCTGGATCCCAACCCTCAGTCTTTATTCCAGGAGTTCCAGTGCTCGGAGTCCACTCACTTAATGTGTTGACTCTTATTAGAGCATATCAGAGCATACTTCTACCCTCAAATTATAGAGGCTTTGCAATGTATGTCTGGGAGGTTTTGTGAATCAAGAGTCTACATGACAGCTGCCACCAGGTCACTGGTTCGATCGCCTGACCTCCTCCTGACCAAATGGTCATCCAAGACACACAAACGACTCGATCTACACGTTTGGGGAGGCCGCCCCCGAAGGGTCTCCTCTTTTTCAATGTGCAGGGGGGGGGGGGGGCGGCGGGGGGCCCGGGCCCCCCCCCCCCGGGGGGGGGGGGGCCACGACTACGACTACTTTCCCTCGTAGCACGGAGTGCTTCTGGGAGGCCCGGTAAAAAGGATTCTGTGCTACGAGAAGTAGTCGTCACTTTCAAGAGGGATTCTGTGCTACGAGAAGTAGTCGTGGCAGAGTCCCCCCAACGACGACTACTTTTAGGAGGGAGTCTGTGCTACGAGAAGTAGTTCAGAGGGATTCTGTGCTACGAAAAGTAGTCGTGGCAGAGTCCGTACTTTTTCAACTTCAAGGGGGGGGGGG